CCTCCTGCAGTTAAGCTAGATATATTTAGCCTACTCACAGAATTCTTTTTTTTTTGTTACTTTCTAGAGGTGTGCCTGAGATGAAGGTTTTTTATATACTCCTATATATATACGAATATGTGAAAACTGTTGTTTCTTATTTGTGTTTGTAACTATGTATACAGTATTGTTTATTATATTTGTAAAAATAATATTATAATGATATTATATTATGCTCCTTGTGAGCCCATTTGATGGAAATAAAGCATCTTCTGTATACAAACCTTTGAATGTTAATTAGGTGCAAATGTCAAAATAATCGGATTTATAGCATCTATAAATAGCATCAGTGGAAATACCACATTAGAAGATAAATAGAGATGAATTGGTTTGACAAATAGCTGATGCATTTACGACTGTGGTTTAACCGCATCAAAAATATATACTGACATCTGATTAGTTTCAGATACTTATGATATAATCAAGCAAGTAAAATTATCAACCTAATGATATATTTAATCTGAATTTCTCACCCTTTTCATATATCATGGAGCATGAAACCAGCGGCTCATCCCTACCACTTATTACATAGCAAGTGCTCCTGTAAAGGGCATTGGTTCCTGATGTCATTGTTAACAACCCCATGGATTTAGGACCTTTGGCTTTATAGTTAAAGCTAATTTTATCTTTTCAGAAACCGTTAACTGGGGTTATGCCCTTTACAGAAAGGTCAAATCTCTTCGATCAACATAAAATTAACAATAATAATGATAATAACTATTAAATGTAAAAATTAAAGACACGAATATTTCTTTTGGAGGATAACATCAACATCTGACAGACACTTTATAAATCCAGTTACAAACTAATTATACTCTAAGGTTAATGTACTATAGATTGTTCATCCCCACGCATATCAGATATATTTTCATTAATTGGTTTCCAATTGTTTTACCTGCTACAGATCTTTAGATTATCATGATTATATTTTAAACTCTTTCAATCTTAACTATTGTCATTAACATATCCAGTGATATTACGTATCATTCCGTTTGTAAACGTATATCTGTTCCACCTAACAGAAGTTCCCTTAGAAATTTTGTTAAAAACAATGCCATAATATCTGTTCCTGTATTCTATACACTAAAGTCCGTTTGAAACAAATACTGTAATATATGACTGTAATATTTGTTCCAGTGGATTAATAGTCTCTGACATTTCTTTCCTTTGGAACTTATATTATGAGGAACTTAATATTTCATGAAACGTTTACTATATGCGTTTTAATTGTTCAATGATTGAACAGGACATTATATATGCAGTGGAAATACCAAAATAACGATATACAAATATTAGATCTCGCAAAGTTGTAATTATTGTGTGTAATTTTAAGTATTTCTTGCAACAATGGAGTTTATATTATATCAATTAGCTTATGGTCGAACAAATTATATCAATTTCCATGAATTATGCTTAGCGTTCATATCTCAGTATATGAAGAAATCGATATACAAACACGCGAAACGCCTTCCAAATGAATATGAAAAACCGTGTCATAGCACGATTAAAAACAAAATATTTACAAAAAGCTATTGGCTCATTTATCTTAATTAACCTACGTATTTTAAGGTTAAAAAAAAGTAAAATAAAAAAAAAAACTGAACTGAAAGGAAGATTCAAATTGGAAAGTCCCTTATCAAATGTCAAAATCAAAACCTCAAACACATCAAACGAATGGAAAACAACTGTCATATTCCTGATTTGGCACAGGCATTTCGTTATATAGAAAATGGTGGATTAAACCTGGTTTTATAGCTAGCTAAACCTCTCATTTGTATGACAGTCGCATGAAATTCCATTATGTTGACAACAATGTGTGAACAAAACAAACAGATATAATAAGTAAAAATTTCAAAAATATGGGTACAGCAGTGTATGGCTTTTCTACTTCCGAACACATTTGGTACACACTGTTAGCGATTGTATCAACTTTCAATTGTCGTCAACTTTGTAATTGATTTGTCTTTCCAATTGACTTAATACGATAGCCACTGATGAGTCTTATGTACAAGAAATGCATGTCTGGTGAAGCAAATTACATACATCATGTACACTTTATCTTAAATCATTTGTTTTTTTAAGTAAAAAAACCGTTCGTAAGAGGCCATTTTTTAAATTGCAATACTTTTCTTAGGAAATTGCCTCTATGAAGTCCGGAATATGTTAGTTGTCGTTCAATCATATCGTTGATTGATATATAGCCGAGCGTTAAGTTTTGATCAGGTTTTATGGACTTCCTCCTTTTTTAAGTTAACTTGGAGTCCGATAATTTTGTAAATACTTTTGTTAACGGAATATGGGAGACAAAATCTCTCTATTGTATTTAAACTCCCTACACCATTGGTGTAATATCTGGTTTAATATAATGCATTTGATACATTAACTACACGTAAATTATATTTGATAACATGTCACAACCTTTGCCTTCAAAATGAAAATAACACTTTTGATGTGACGAGTCGAATTATACATGTTATAATTGAAAAGGGAAATCGTTTTTGCAGGTTTACAATTTAAACGCCATTGTAATATATGTTAGAACGCAATACGAAATACCAGTATCAGACTAATGATATAATTAACAACCCGTAGTCAGCACTTTTATACTGACATGAAATATAATTGTTATGTGTATTTTCTGTTTATAAAATGTTGAAATGAAAAAAAAAACAGATTAGGTTGTTCTACCCAAAAGTATAGAATGACTTATCTGACTATGTTGTATGGGTTTTGCTCTTTGTTGAAGACCTTACGGTGACCTATAGTTGTTAACTTCTATGTCATTTCGTAGAGAATTGTCTCATTGGCTATAATACCACATCTTCTAATTTTATATTAGCCGTATTGACCACAACTTTATGGAATTTTCGGTTATTAATGCTGTTCAAAGCAAACCCGACAAGTTTCAAGTTTTGGCTGTTGGCAAAAAGACATTTAAAGAAAACCCATCTATACATATTCAAAATTCGAACCTTACATGTGAAAAAACAGTAAAATTATTAGGCATTGAAATTGACTATCAGTTATATTTTGAGGTTCATATCAGCTCAATCTGCAGGAGAGCCTCACAGCGACTAAATGTTTTGAAACGTTTGGGCTCTGTTTTGGATAGACTTAATAAACTTACGATTTTTCATACTTTTATTGTTAGTAATTTTGATTTTTGCCCTTCGGCATGGCATTTTTGCACTGAGAAAAATTCAAAAAAATAGAAAAGGAGCAGAAAAGAGCACTCCGTTTTGTATACAAGGATTTTAGCAGCTCCTACGCTGACCTCTTACATAAAGCTAAGGTGCCCTCCTTGCAGATCAGACGGATAAGAACAATGGCTCCAAAAACTTTTAAGATTACGAACAATATAGCTCCTGTGTGCTTACAAAATTTGGTGAGTGTCAAAACATCTAAGTATTCTTTCAGGTATGTAAATATTCTGGATGTTCCACAGGTAAAGTCAACCCGTTACGGTAAAAACTCTTTCAGATTTGCTGCCGCAACTTTATGGAACAGCCTTCCAAACCATTTCAGGACTGAAAATAGTTTTTCTCATTTTAAAAGACTTGTTCAGTCCTGGAACGGTTTGGAATGTCGCTGTTCTGCTTGCAGATAACTCTTGAGCTGTTTTGTATTTATGTTGCTTTTTGTTGCTTTGGACTAATATTGATGTATTTCTTCACGATTTTTTTTATATTTAAATTTTAATTTCTGACACATATTTCAAGAAATTGGGTAATCAATTCATGCTGAAAATATTCTGTACTTTGAAATTTCTAGATCTCAAAGCATATACCATAGTTCTAAACTTTGATTTTTATAAAAGTAATCTATTTATTTAAATAGTTACCATATTTTTAATCTCAAGTTTAAACTTTTATATAGGTAAACAATGTTTTACTTCATTCTGAATTTGTTGCTTAATTTTTATTGCATGCTATGTGTGTGAGATTCAACTTTTTATTACAGGTTGTTTTATATGTTATGTATATGTTTTTATATTCGGTCAAAAGCCCCTTAGAGCTTGTGTTGTATATTTCACTTATGCCGAATCAAAATAATTTTTTCTTATCTTATTATTATATTATTTAATTTTGTAATATACGATTTGGCTTTGCAACTATTTTTTTTTAGAGCGCCACTGATGAGTCCTATGTAGACGAAAAGCGCGCCTGTCGTACCTATATTTAAACTCAAGTATCTTAGATGAGTTTTTTAAATTGTAATTGTAATTTAACCACTAGAAATTTTTATCAAGGAAATTGTATACATTAACGGTAAGCACGGTAAGAGGACAAATGATAAAGGTTAATAAAAATTAAAAAAAAAAATACTTTTTTATATGTGTTCATTGACAACAGGTATGACAAATCCGTACTGGGAATATCACAACTTCAAGCTGCAAGTTTTTATTGATTTGAATAACGTTTTAACATGGTGTGAAAATTTTTGATCAAAAGTATGTGTATAAATTTTTCCTGTTTGTTTTGCTAGGGATTGGCACTGTTCCTAGCTGTTATGTGTTTCCCTTTAAACATTAATGACGTGTATTTGCTTCCGCATTAGCATTTTCTATTATTGATAATCATTTGGTATGGAAAATAAACATACATCAATTTGATTATGAATGTTGTCGTATAAAATAAAAATGAAAACCTAGCTTTCAATGTTCTGTATTATAATGTTATCTTCCTCCTATATGAACTCCAGCGTCATCAATATCTATGCTAAAAAAGGGTAAAGGTCGTGATAATTGATGCACGCAACAAAAACAAATGTCCAATTGTTAAATCAATGAATTCAAATTAGGACTATTTCGTAGAAATTGAGATGCACTCTTTGATATGCAGGATTATTTTTTTAAAGAAAAGAAAAAATTTAAACATTGGTAAATTGAATATGGGTGCATCAAATTGTATCGTCCAATCAAAACGATTGTTTAAATATAAATTATGACAAAGATAAGAATTCAAATAATAAGCGGTCATAGCTTGTAACACACACAAAAGGTAAGAATATACTTTTATCAGCTTAAACTTATAACTTACATGAAAGTCTATGTATCATTTAGTCACTTGTGGATAGTTTTCTTATTAGCATTCATACCACATCTTTCTTTATTTTTAAAAGATGAATTGATTAATTAATCCAAAATCATTGGTTTGTTATTTCTAACTGTAGTGTTTACTTTTTTTCAATTTACTGATTTAGGTGTTCTGTTTTTGGAAGGTTTATTAATAATTATTGCAAATATAATGAGTTAAACAAATTCAATTTATCATTTTATACTTGCACGTTAGGTGCTTGTATCTTTTGGAGAAAACGCATACAAACAAATACTACTCTCAAAAGTACCTGACACAATTGCTTTAAAATAGAAAATTCAAATCCTTGAAATCTCAATTGACTTATCTAACTATAACTTCCTTTCCTAAAAAAAAATTTCTCAAAAACAAATACAAAAGTTATTATATTTGTAACATTATAAATTTGAAAATATGAATTACACACGTGTATTATTATTTTTATCAGCAAACCATAAGCGTATTTTTTTGTTGTAGTTCGAAGATTTGTGATCTGGTCCACTTTAAACTACTGCATTTCTTTGTTTTAACAATTATTAATTGCTTAAGTCAGTGGAGTCACTGCTGATTTTTCATTACACAAAGAACTTAAATTGTTAGGAGGTAGCCAGTTTCATTTTCTTTCCGAAAGAAGAAATACTACTTTATGAAACAACTGAAAGAACTAGTTTTTTTCAGTTTTATTTGTTGAACTTTTTCACAGACGTGTTATCGATTATTGTTGTTTCCAGAAGCAGTGTTGTAATTTGTAGGATTTGATTTGAATGTTTTTGTATCTAACGATCAAAGAGAAATAATTCAATGAATAATCTGGGGAAATGTCTATAATGTAATATTATTTTAACCACACTCTTAAAACTTAGTCTGTATGTAAAAGGAAGCAAAAGAAAGACGGAAAAGACATACAATTTTAATGCTGTTATTTTGTTTCACTAGACAATTTCTACATAAATGTGTAAGTACTATGGAAATAAAAACTAGAAATAGAAAGATCATCTTAAAATTTATATAATTGCAAAAACCAATATTTCAAGTATAAGAGTGCAATGAAATGACATGAGTCGCGTGAAACACTGATCAGAACCAACATAACAGTGGAACTTGTATTGTTAATGTGGTGTTATTTTTTTTCCAAAGTTGGCATTCGGTGCCGAACTAAATATGGATATCAGCTTTGCTATTGATTGATTATATAAGTGAAAAGGGTAGACATGCTTTAAGTTTAGTTTCACATGAACATATTCGTTTATATTTTTTTTCCTTCTTAAAAAGATGAAATCATGATTGCTTCATTGTTTGCAAGAATAAAGTATGTATACTAAACCCCTAACAGGAGGGATTGTGCCTGATATGCATATGATGACGACATAATCTTTTAATCAGTTTAATTGAGGTATGGAGCTGGCATGTCAGTAACTGCAAGTAGTCTGTTGTTATTTATGTATTATTGTCATTTTCTTTATTTTCTTTTGTTTCCTATTCTGACATCGGACTCGGATTTCTCTTAAACTGAGTTTTACTGTGCGTATGTTGTATGTTTGTTTTTTCTACATTGGCTAGAGGTATAGGGGGAGGGTTGAGATCTCAAAAAACATGTTTAACCCCGCCGCATTTTTGCGCCTGTCCCAAGTTAGGAGCCTCTGGCCTTTGTTAGTCTTGTATCATTTTTAGTTTTAGTTCCATGTGTATAATTTGGAGTTTAGTATGGCGTCTATTATCACTGAACTAGTATACATATTTGTTTAGGGGCCAGCGGAAGGACGCCTCCGGGTGCGGGAGTTTCTCGCTGCATTGAAGACCCATTGGTGGCCTTCGGCTGTTGTCTGCTCTATGGTCGGGTTGTTGTCTCTTTGACACATTCCCCATTTCCATTCTCAATTTTACAATCAGATTTCACACCTTAAACTAAAATTTCAAATAGATACATTTAGCCTTTGACCTTGTGTATTACATCATGTACACAAATATCTATGGTAATGTGTATTTCCGTCAGTTTGAATTTATAAATATATAATTTGTATCATTTTTTATATTTAGTTTTGTCATCCTAAGTAGCATGTACATTTCGATTGCAATGAGAGATTAATTTCTGATGCTAGAATAAAAAAAAATAAGAATTGAAACAAGGTCCTGGCAGCATTTCCCCCTTAAAATGGTAATCATGTTTTTTTATCATCAGGCATCAATTTAATATGTGGGTGTTTCGAGTAATACATGTAGTAATCTGTGTTTTGTTATTCTTCCATAACTTAAAGGTTTTTGTTCTGTTCCTGACTTCATTTGTTGGGTTTGGTGTCTGATTTTTGTTGCCTACACCCGTTCTTGCAAATATTTAATTTCAGTTCTAAGCTTATTAGGTTTTAAATTCAGTTCTTCATTTTATCAAGCGAGCTGAGCCTGGATCAATGATTGAAGAGAAATAAATAAATACCATAAAATGAGTATTACATGTCAAAAGCAAGGTTATTGTTTAATTCATTTAATCTAACCATACTCATTTTTATCGTACTTAGGGTAAAAACTAGTACCATCTTCATCGATTAGAAGTCTGATTCCATCCCCCCTTTTGATGAAAATGTGCCAATACTCCACCAGAAACCTCAACTTTCTATTTTGATAATAGCATTGAATGCTTTAACAAATTATGGTTAAATGTTTCTTACTTACCAGACTGAAATATTTGAAACTATAATGAAAATCAAGTATCTTCTTTTGTTTTTATGACCGAGTGTTTTCATGTCGTCCATAGGTAGTATTCGATGCAAGTGGCGCCCTCTTTTTATTAGAATTTTCAAATAGTAAACATGGTGAATATGACACATTTCTTAAGTTGCATTTGATAAATTATTTGTTTTTAAAATATTCTTGAATATATTTCATTTTACTTTTGTATTTTTTTTTCGGTAAACCATCTACGTTTCATTTGCTGCAGAGTACTCATTCAAAAGCGCGCGAATTTTGGGGAAAACCCTTACATCAGACATACATACACTGCCAGCAGCAATGGTAAATATACATTTATTTCCAACACATTTACATATATACTGTCTCGTATAATTAGCATCACAATTGAGTTGTCATATATTTTCACTGTTGTTACACGGAACACCAAGGATGACTGGGGTCGTCATATATTTCAACTGTTGTTACAAAGTATACCAAGGGTGACTGGGGAATAGAAAATTTGTCACTTGTGGTCTTCTTTAGATCGGCAGTAAAACTCCTAACAAACTTGGGCGTCTTATTGGTTGTGTCGGATGTGTAAATACGAAGTCACAACAGATCACAATTGGGACTTTAAATCCGATGCCTCGTTTAGAGGGAGTGGCAAACACTCTGCAAGTTAAGTACTGTTGCAACAACTCTTTGAGGGATCTGTCGGTAGTCTATTCCGAGGTAATATTTTTACAGGACCAACATTTTGTTTACTTGTCATGTTTGTTTTCATCGTGATAATGCATGAATATTTGCAATTTGACATAAACCAAACACCAATCAACCAATCAACCATTGTAACACGTGGAATTCTTGTTATTTCAAATTAGTACAAACTGGACTACAGAGGATAAGAACTTACACTTTATTTGAACTTTAACAAGATGTAAATGATAATATATCTGATGTATGCTTGTGTTGTTGTAACGTATATTATATTGTCAGACACAAATTACATTGTACGGTTTCATGCGTTAAGTTTGCATTGTTGGGAGACTTTTACTACATATTCTAAGGAGTGCATCTTGTCTAATTTGAAAAGAGTCGGGAGCAATTTTGAACGCCCGCTATGGTAGTGAATGGACCAAGTGTTCTGTACTGCTTTTAATAACCCTAGACCAATCCTACATCTACCCCTACCTTGCATAATTTGCTGTTTACTAAAGGATATTACACTATGCTGAATTGCCTGGAAATATTGTTTAAAAGTTTAAATCTTAAACTCCTTGGATTAAAGCAACTAAAAGAATTAGTTCATGAAATGTAACATTTCAAAATATATTCTTATGAGCATCAAAACTATCTTTATTTAGACATATATTTACAACTCATTATCATAATCAAACCATATACAATTAAAACAGCAACGTCTAAAGGCTAAACAAGCACAACTAGCTTGTGTTGCTTAATAACTATTTCATATATATTGATTTGAGTTGTTTCTCTTTTGTCATGTGTGTTTGGATGAACATTGCAATTTCATTTTATAATTCTGTAAAATATAAACAAAATTTGCTGAATTAGTTATTCTGTGATATCTAAAATAAACAAAACTAACATCATTTTATATAAATATAGACATAATCATGATAATAGATTAAAATTTTTGAAAACGTGAAATTCACAAATTATTATGCTCTTCTAATAAAAATGCTCACAAATTAAAAGTGTAAAAATCCAGATCCGCATCAAAATGCAGAAATGCATATCGACAAATAAACCTGTACTGACACCTATAATTGTTAACTTCTACGTCATTTGGTCTCTTGTGGAGAGTTTTCTCAAGTCTAAGCTAGAACAATTAATCAAAATCAAAAAAGAACACCATGAAATTCGCTGATAAGTTACATTTTGTAAAAAGCGATCACACCGTAGTAGATTTGTAAATGAATTTAAATAGAGGCGAAAGGTACTAATAGGACATTCAAACTCTTTTAGTCGAAAACAAACTGACACTGCCATGGCAGAAGAAGGAAACAAAAATACAAAACGACAAATTTAATCGATAAACAATTGAAACATTTCCTTTTTACATTTCTACATGATCGAACGCAAAAGTTTAAAATGTAAGCACAGATCTTCAGATCAAAGTAGGCAAAAACTTTATCAATCTCAAGTTTATAATCATGATTGATTGATCTGTTGTTAACGCCACTTTCAGGATATTTCGTGGCGGTCAGTTTTTATTATTGGTGGCGGAAGCCGGAGTGCCGGAGAAATATTAGGATGACATACAACACTAAAGATTGAGGTCAAAGCATTATTACCACCATAATAGACAAGGTGTAAAATGACAAACTCTTTATTTTCATTTTCGTTTACATGTTTTTACTAAAGTATAGAAAGAATTTGTGAATTTTACTCTTTCTGCGATATCAAGGGTTAGGTAACTACCCTTACCCATCATACCTTCCCCTTATATGTCATGCTCGTATACTGTAAACCAACTTATTTTCGCGACTTTCGCGAGTAGAAAAATAACGCAAATATTTATTTAACTAAATCAAGTAAATTAGAAAATCGCCAAATGAAATCGCTGCGAAGTGGACTAGAAAGGGATAGACGCTAAATAAAATATCCGCTGGGTGTACAATGACGAATTTTACGATAAGATGTATATGCTTTTTTATTAGCATGATTAGTACAAATACAAAATCAAATTATTCGTTCAAAATATATTTGTGCTTTTAACTGTATATTTCGATAAGTACAATTTAAAGCACTCATTATATATCATTCACAAAATGATTCTTTACATTTCTTTTTTCAGAATGGGAACTGTTTCTGTGAGAAAAGATTGATAGGGTTGAAAAACAGCCTGTCTATCAGAATTGGCGGAACAATACCAATTATACCCAATGATGAGTTTAACTCTGTACACAAGAACCACAGGGAAGGGACATTCCTATGGATTATACCCAATGAGATCCACATAAAACTTGGAAATACAACTCCAATCCGAAAGGTAAATATAAGATACATACAATAGTCTTTAATATCCATCCAACATTTAAAAAGAAAAAAAAAGATTGCTAAAATGTCTTTAGTGGGTGTTATAGTTTTATTTTTTTAGAAGTTATTTGATTAAAGTATACGTAGAGATGCAGAACTTGTACAAATTCTATGAATTTTGATCAAAATTGTTCACTACAAAAGGTACATCACTCATTTTGTGATGTTTTAAGCGTGTAATTTTATTCACGGTAGCAAATTCATTTCACAAGAAGCACATTTTGACAGTTAATGTATGTATCGTTAATGATGGTCTAGGCCAAACTATTTAAAAATCCAAAACCTAAAACAAACGTTGAAGAAAAGTTTAATTTAGCATATAAGTATGCCGACTGACAAATCCTAAAATAAATACAGAATATTCATCGTATATACTAGGATAAATGGTCAGTTAAAACATGTTTCGCATTTATCAAAGGTCTACCGAAATGGAATGTCATTTCATTTCCATGATATAAACTAGACAGAGCTCACTTCAAAAGGAACATGTCTAAAGATTCCAATATTGTACAAATTCTGAATCGATATAAAAAAAAGTCCTACAGTGACAAAAATACTAAAAGGAAAATCTTTACATCAAGTATACAATCCAAGACTTTACAATTCGATTAATTTGTACCAAAAAAAAGACTACTGAGTTTTTTTCTTAAGCAAAGGTTATATCCTGATATCACTTCCAAACTATATATGTTTATTCCTTATGTGGTTCCTGGGTAAATCTTATGATATTTGTTTGTTATCAATATTCTCACGCTCCGACATCACAGTCGGTTAATAAATTAGTAGCATATATATAAAAACAAGACAAACAAAGGACTAATAACTGTCGGTATTGTGTGAACCTAACACAGGCACGTGGTATCGATAGAAAATATATATATGCATACATTAGCCGTAATACTCTTTCCAAAGACTCTCATTTCACGAATAATAAGTTTTAGTAAATACGTGTGCAATATATGAAAGTAGTGTACAGATGTTGAAAAAATAATGGACTTATTTTGGTGTTAACATGAAAAAGATTTTTTCTGTGTAACATAGATCTTGACTTTTGATTTTGTTTTTGTTTTGAACTTGTCGTTGTGTTGCTATCGAATTGACAACTAAATTACAAACACATAAAACTGTTTCTCTTTTTTGCAGAATTTAGAGGCAACTGGAAAAACAGCACTGTTAAAATGTTGATGAAATTTTAAGTTTCTTTTGTACTACATAAGACTTTTGGAAAAGAAAAGTAATATGCAAAATAGGACGAAAGAAGAACTACAGTAAAATTTGGCAAAACCTGAGAACTATCTTTAAAAAAAAGCAGAATACAAAGAAATATGTTATAAGCGATATAAAAATAATAATTTTCATAAAGGATTATTGTTTTTTTAAAGGTTTCATGTTTGATGACACATTATTATTATTATTATTATTATTATTATTATTATTATTATTATTATTTTTTCAATTAATGTTTAATCAACGCTTGAATAAAATCAAGACAGTAATACCTTTGAACAAACAGAAAAAAAAAGAATCAAATCAATATCATATGTTAAGCCGTTGTTTTGCACAATTCTTATCGAAAAGGAAATTCAACAATACACAAATTGACAATATTAATAAAATAAGGTCCTCAACAACAAAAAGAAGTCTACACAATATGTAAAATTTTAAATCAACCCTAGCATATAAATAACTTGTTTATTATAGTTTTTGTTAACCACAGGATTGCGGAAATGACTAAACGATCAAGGATAGTTCAACTCGCTATTGATTTAAACGTGACGACAAATTGTATCTAGGGAGAATGCTACAATAAGTATGTAACATGTTCTCCTGTTTGTTTCCCACATAAAATTTACTTCAATAAATGTCCGATTATTAGGTTTTAAAATGTGTGCGTCAAGTTGATAGGTTTTATCCATAATGATACATAATTAGAACGAAAATTATGCATAAAACACACAATTTTATAATTAAACATTTTCAAGTAGTTTTATCCGAAACTCAAATGTTATATCGTCGAACAGGAAAAACTTGGCAACTTTGACCTTCATACGTGGACAGTAAGAAATGCCTATGTTTATACAAGTATATAATGTTAGGTAGTATATACAATCATTTGGCTTGCTAAGTCAAAATCTTTCCATGGAAATACTTTCAGATGCACTGTTTGTAAATACAACACAAATCTGGTTACAGTGAAAATTGTACGTTGCAAATATAATATGTTCGTCAATTCTAGTATTGGTGCTATAATCAAATTTATTCGAAGTAACGAATATGTTTAAAAAACATAGAAATAAAGACAGGGGTTACCAAAAAGTAATAGCTATAAAATAGCATATCACCAAGCAAAACTATCAATTGTTCGTTTAACTCAAGTCCGAGTTATTCTAATATTAAACAGGTCGGGAACTTTAGATTCATGATGTCAGAATACATTTGCATAGTAATTTCCCAAATAGAAGGTAAACATGGCCTTGAAAAATTGACCAATCGACTCAATGAACTACAATGCATTGTGGGCTACTACGAGTTTATTATCATTTAAAAACACGTTGAATTAGTGGGAAAACTGTCAACTAATATAGTGTCTGGGATTCTCGTTATAAATGTTTTTGTTCAGCGAATGTGTTTAATGTAAAATGTATAACATAATCTTCAATTTGCATGCTCAGATTAAAACAATATTGTTTACTGTCTTCACAATTCGACTTTCCTTTTTCGCCTTGTAAAAGTAGTTGAACAGGTTTTGTCCATTTAATGCATTGTACCTGTGCATTAATTTCACGGCGTGAAACAGTGAAATTTCCAATGAAGTGACTACTGTTATAATATTCAGTATTCTCAAAAAAAAATTGTTATAAAAAGCGGGGACGGTAAATAGTTTAACATATTTTATATACTTTTGTCCATCGATGAAGTCCAAAAATATACCTAAGATGTATTTTTAACGTTCGGCTGCTGTCCTGTTGACTTATGTGCAATATCTTCAATCATTTAAATCCTCCGGTTCATAGTGGGTGCTATGTTGCCCATTTAGGTTTTCTAAAACGTGCATTGTATACAGAAATAAGAAGATGAGGTATGAGTGCCAAACAAGATCTATCTCCATTCAAGACACAATATAGTAAAGTAAGCAATCATAGGTTACAGGACGACCTTCAAGGATGAACAATGAGCTATCAAGGGACCAAAAATGACTAGAGTAGATCCAGCGCTGCAATTTTTACAAAATATATCAAAGTTCATTTCCTTGTCGCACATCAACATGAATAGCATCATAAATGATTTTATTAAAATTGGCAAATTTCTGAGTCTGTTAAAAATATCAACAATTCCAATATCTACATTAGAAGAAAACGAACTTTGCAAAGACGAAAACAAAACGAAACTACAGCTGCTTGCATAGAGTGAGAAAAATATTGTTTCATTACCTTCAGAACAAAGGGAACAGTTTGAAATAAAAAAAAAAGTCCAAAAAACTGAAATATGCCAAAAATTCAATACTGATAGATTATGTTAACATTGTCAGACAAGAATTAAGAAATGTCTTCAGCAGTTTCGATGAAATATGATAGATAATATAGGCTTTATACATGTTCTGTACCTGTCAAATTCTAAATATACAAATATTACACAGTATTCTACAGTATATATCTCTTTTCAAGATAATGGAAAACCAGTCTTTCTGAAAGGTGTTTGTATCTAAAAATAAGGAGATGTGGTATGATTGCCAATGAGACAACTATTCACCAAAGTTCAAAAGAAGTAGATGTAAGCAATTATAGGCAGCCTTAAGGCCTTCAATTATGAGAAAAACCCATACAGTATAGTCGGCTACAAATGGCCCCGATTGATGATTACACGTGTTTGTTTCTTAAAGACAAATTAATAAATACCTTCTATAAGTCTATTTTAAAAGACTTTTTAATCTTAAAAGAAGGTACAATATCATAACATCAATTTTGTGAAAAGCTGAGAAATTTTAGTGACCACAACAGATATTTGTCATACTCTAAGTCTTTCCCCTTTTTTACGAACCCAAAATTTAAGGATCCCTTATTTTTTCAACTATCTGAATGAAAGTTTTTCTTATGGGTAATTGTATTTTTCACTGTTATTTCGTTGCTGTGTTGTGGACGAATACCTGAAATCTCCGTGTCATCAGCAATCATATTAACGGCTATATTTCGGGTAATTCAAACATCGTTTCTTCGCTATAAATGTGGAAAAAAAATGAAAAACTAAGCAAAATTGTTAATGCATGAAAAAATGTGTTGTATTTCAGTAAATAACACGTGTTCTCGGTTCATTGTAAACACGTAGTAGTGCATCATGCATTGTTACTCATTTAGTGGATTAGTCAAAAACCCAGGTAAAAAAAATTGCGTCATACGTAAATAAACAATTACATGTGCGAGGACATAAGATTGCTTATGTATGCATATCCATAAAAGGTAGTGTTCCCGACCTGTTAAAAATGAATTGATCACGTTTATGATTGAAGCACTTGGATTTGTAAAACGTCACAGTATAAACTACTATACACTATACCTTCAATTTTGTTCAAATGCATAGGAATTATTTTATCTTGAAGTTGCAAACAGAAGCTGAAATTATTTGATTATGAAAATATTACAAAAAGCATATGTTTTGCTAAATGATTTATATCTGTCAGTTTGTATTCCTACAGATATAAAATGTGTATCCTGAATTTACTCTGGTTGCATACTTTTGCCGAAACTGTGAACGGATAGTAAAATATGCGGAGTAAGTTTCATGCAACCGATTGTCAAGGTTGAATGTACTAAAGTTAAGTAAAAATAAAAAATAAATTATGAAAAATAAATAGTAAAACAATTCCATTTTCTGTGGTTAGTACATACGGAAATGATTCATCCTAAGAATCAGCTGATTAGCTGGTGATTGCAATTCGTCTTCATCACATTACATAAC